CCGAGTGGCGCCCTTTTGCCACTGTTGCGCACGCTGCTGCCGTCCAGCAATGGCGCGAACCTCGAGCAGTTACAGGCTGCGGATGGTGAGATTTAGCCAGGCTGCTTCCTTCTAGGAGGATCATTGAATAAAGTCCTTGGATTCTATGTGCTAGGAATATGAACAATCATAGGAATGTAACATTCAAAACAAAACATCAACTACCAGCACCCGACGACCTACAGGTCGGTCTCCGATGTAGGTCGGGTTTGGGAGTTGGGGTCGAACCACTTGGAGGTCGAACCAAACAGGTGACCTGGCAGGTTGGTACTGGGTGCTACATACCATTTGAGCTTTCCGATGTTCCTTGACCACATGGCAGTCCACTGCCACCTGGAGGCCTCACGAACATGGCATTGACCTCAGCTGAAAACGAATTGCCTCCAAGGATTCCTTCAAAAGCAGATGGAGGAAGTCAGTTTTCCCATGTTTCCCCCTCCTCCGAGGAGGACTGAAGACCTGAAAGACCTGATCAAATCCTGGGGTCTTGGGGTCTGGATTTCTCCCCAAATCCGGGTCTTCACAGAGGACCGGTTTTCGGCTGTGGAACACGGAGCCGTTTGGGGTGGCACTGTTGGATGCTCACTGCATTGTGAGCACCACAAACTCCATCCAAAATGGCCAACTCAACAGCTTGATGGAACGTTTCTGCTTCACTGCTTCATGTTTCTCATAACTCCGTGAACCAAAAAAAAGCGACAGCGACTCCCGCAGCGACTCCAGCACTTTCCAGCGACTCCCTGCTGCTCAGAAACAGTTGGAGACTCCCTGCTGCCCTGGAAGCCGTAGTGCACCCGACTTCCTGACCGATGTCGGAACTTCCAACGACCTTCCTGAAAATGCCCTGGACACCTGGACCTGACTTCAAGTACGGTCCTAAACATGATATATATATATTATATGATCCGTTATGATCCGGTATGATCCTATAACAGGTACAAGCTGTACGCTCCAAAGATCGTCATGTTTTCGTTGGATCGAAGATCATCGACATGTTTTTTCCCTCAACAAGTCGTGGTGCTCTTCCAACCTCGGAAGCCGGGAAGTCTGGATTAGTATATGTGGTTGAGGATGTGTGTTGTTCAACCACATGCACAAGCATCTCTGCCTGGATTTGTTGTCCCGGAAGCTGGGAAAAATAAACAGATCGAAGGGGACTTACCCATAGGGAACATAAAGATCACCCTACGACATGGTACGCTAAGCAAATCAATAGGTCTTTGTTTGTGGTTTGCCTGAACCCCCCAACAGGTCAAGTGTTAATCTTCGACGACACACGGAAAGAACAAAAAAAAACAATACAAAACACCATCCACTTCGACTCAACAGACTCAGCCCATTTTCTGACCAAGCAGACGTTCTTCGTCGGCAAAACTAAATGCATTGAAAAGCAACCATGGGTTCTCTTCGTCGGGTGTTGAGACTGCCTCCACTACTCACCCTGGAAGGCCAACTACCTCCGTTTCGAAGGTGGGTTTTGGGGGGTCTAACCACGGAACCTGAGGAGATGGGACAGGAGCCCTGGGTCAATGGATCCACCAAAATCCCACAAGTAGAAACCTCCACTTGCAACGAGAAGGCGTGTATTGGTTGGTGTGGAGTCCCAGTTGCCTGTAGTGAGGACAAAAGAACTTGGTAACGTCAATGTGGTTGGGTCGTGTCAAACACCATTGTTCGAGTGATCACACAGTAAGCAAGTGTTTTGACCGCATGGTGATGGTTCAAATCCGGCGGTTCGAGTCTTTCCAGCACGGAACAGCAATGCCGGTTCTATTCTTTCCGCCGTTCTCAAGTTGTCGGTTTTGGTCTTTTTGTTAGGTGATTGGAGACACGGTTGTGTAGGTTTGGACGGTGCAGTCGTACCGAACCTGAGAAGGTTTTGATTGGAATGTCTAGGCAAAACTGCCAGCCAGTGTCGCATGTCTCGCGGTAGAAAAAAACAAGAACACGGTTCGACTCTATGTGTTGCAACCGCTGGACCTTGGACATCCTGGGACTCTGATCCGTGGGCCATTCAACTGGGCCATCCTGGGGCTCCTGAGTTCATCTGCTTGGGGTGGTTTGACAAGGAGTAGAATTGGTCATCATCCATCAAGTTCCTTGAAGGACAACATGTTGTTTTCACGAAACCATGATATGCAAGGCCAAAAACCTGCACACTCCACGAGATAGCAAAGCAATGACAATCGCATGATGTGCTTATCTTCAATGTTGTATCTATGTCATGTTTTGCCGATTCATTGCATTTTGACTTACTCCAAAGGGTGTGGGGACGCAAGATCAAAAACTACAAGGGATCAAACATGACCCAGCAAATGGGACATGACACATTACCAAAAACACACACACAGGCTCACACAGGTATTTACTTGTACGACTAACTTGTACTTACTCTGAAAGCGGGTGCAAAGCGGGTGCAGTTGGTTGAGCCCAGGTGGTTGGTACAGGATTCCTCAAGTGGATCTGATCCCATCATTAGGATCTATCCATGGGACTAGCATATTTACGCCATACGCGGGATCAATGGAGTTACGTATGCCATACGTCATACGGGTGGGGTACAAATGAGATGTGGATGTGTGTCCTGTTTGGGCTGCGTACATCCGTTTCGAAGGTGGGACTGGGGCGGGTGCCAGGAGGTCTAGTTACCTTCCGAGGGGTAAGGTTGGAGCCCCAGGGATTTATAGAATAACCCAAACATTCCATATCGATCCATCTATGCTGTATTTGCCCATGGTTTGAGGGGTCAATTGATATCGGTATATATTCCAGTCCGGTCTGGGCAATGGAGACCAACCCATGGCATCGAGTCGATATCTGATATTCCCAGGAAGTCTGTGTGGGTCTCCCTGTTTCATCCAACAAAAAAAACGTGTCCAGGGGTTTGAAAAACCTCGAGGCAGTCCTTTGAAGTGGATATTCATTCATCCTCCACCAGTCGAACAGTCTGACAAGGAGCGCACCGACAGTCATCTTCATCTTCTGGAAGGTTGAGCTTTCAGGATGGGACGTTGATCAAGAATACTGAGAGTCCAGGCATCCATGACTCAATGAACGCGGTGGATTCCTGGTGGATCATGATTATAGGTAAAATGTCAAAACGGAAGTTCTGGGATTCATCCTCTCCGAAATCAAACGAGCGCCTCGTCTTCGCATCGTCGCATTTGCGACGATGGACGGTGTGGTGGGCATCGCCGCGGCTTAAAACCACCGGGCTCCGGACGCGCACGGGCCCACGCGCGCTGGACCGCGCGGCGCTGGACGGCCGATGTTGGGCTTGGAGAGATCGATCTGCAGTCGTCGGTCAAACTATTTGTGAAATGACTAAAATTAAATAAAATTAATGAGACCTCAAAGGGGTGGTGTTTGGACTCATAAAAACATGCTTGATGTGAGGGACGACTTTCATCTAATACTAGATGCAATGCTCGAATTTTCAACATCTGATTTAATTGAATTTGATATTGGTGCTTGTCTGGAGTCTCCTTGTCCGAGTTTTCTACCTACCTCTGATGCCACAGCACTATACATGTACAGGAGATCTCGTGATAATAGCCTACACGAACCTCATTCAGAGGGGCCACAAGGTTTTGGAAAAAAGCATGCGGCCGCCTACAAGCTATTCTTTCCCAACAGAGGTTGAGGGATCCTATAGACTATCCCATAGGTACCGTAGCAGGCTCCTATAAGGTCACTCAACCTCTCTTGGTATGTCGATAAATACATGTGGTTGCTCCTATAGACATCCCGCAGGACCGCACCGCTATGGTTGGCACAACAGGTCCTGTGGAAGAGATTCCGAGAACCTGACCAGAATCCGGGCGCCGCATCAGACCTCAAAAAACCACCGCCCATGGGACCATACGTCCCGGATGCGCGGTATATCCTGTGTTTATGTCAAAAGTAATTGTCTTTCAAGTTCTAAGGTTTCGTTTTTCCCGAAACAACTTTTGCTCTTGTTGTGGCGAGGTGAGAAACCAACAAGAAATGGCGTCTCTGTCTGACGTCCAAAGGGCCCTCTTTTCCGCATGAACTCTTGAACTTGTGTTTGCAACCCTTGAAACGGCTTGCTTCTTCTACAACTAACTGCGTCTTTTCACAAAGAAATGCCTCCAATGGAAGATCCATATGCCAGTTTCACTGGTGTGTCTGCCAGTCCCACTGGGTGAGGCCAAATGGGTTTCAGATGCATTGAGTATTTGTTCCTTGCTATGATGGAATGGTTCCTTGTGGAATGAAAGAGTTGAGTTCTGGGATCTCACGGTTTTCCTATGAGTCAGGATGAGCTACCAAGGGATTGGTCGGAAGTTCCTACAGCAGGGTAGGATCGTTGAACACGGGCCATGGATCCCTAGCCTTCCGTTTGACCATTAAACAAAAGGTTGACCTGGCTTTCAGGTGTCAATTCCTTAGTAAAAGGAGGGTTTCCTTCGGATAAACAACCACTTATAAAATCATATAAAATCAATGGTGGTGCCTAGGGAAATGCCGTGTCGAATAGTTCCGCATACATCTTCCGCTTCTGCATGGTGACATGGTAACCCTGGTGGATGGCTCTCAAAAACCTCCTACCCCCTGCAAACGATACCAAGGACCCCGTGGCTTGGCGATATGTTCGTTTGTGTCGGTATTCCATGGTGGCATGCAACTTTCTCCTTTCGTGATTCCATTACAACATTACTATCTATTCTTACCGGCGAAAAAAACCCTCTGAACTGGCGCAAAAAATCCCGTGGAACTGGCGCAAAAAACCCTCTGTAGTGAAACACCGTCGCACAAAAAAACGGTCACCGTATGGAATGTGCCTATTGTCGGGAAAACCCTCGTTACCGTCGCAAAAAACACTAGTCACTAGTCCCCTCATCTTGAAGCTGAATAATGCTGCACTCGATTCTGATCTGCTACTGTATCCGACCCCGAGATACATCAAACTATCAAACAATGTCAAACACATATGGAGACCTCTTCATAATCTTCATATTAAAATGACAGTCCTCTCTCCAAGAACTCCAGGGCTGCAGTAAAACAGCGCTTCCATAGCGCTGGAGACAACCCCCGTCTAAGTTTGTCCGCGTCGAGTTTGTCTCACGCCCATCTCCGATCCAACGCAGGATCTTGATCAAACCTCTAGGGCAAGCTCTCCCCCCAACCGACTGACCGTCACCAATGTCTCTTCAGTCCTTCCAGTCCACAAAAGGCACGGAAGCCACAGTCTAAACGCACTCTCTGCAGAATCCACATGTGGCTGATGAGCCTGGCAAGGCCTCGAGTCAGATGCCCCAATGGTTACGTACATTTACACATCATTTTACATGCATGTCATTACCACTAGCTTCAAGCCACGCTTTCCGTTCATATACATCCCAAAACACTCTGACTCTTCTTACATCACTACCTTGACCGCTAAAACTACCCCACATGGCGTGTTTATATAGGTACTGTAAATAGTTCCGCCCGGATCTTTGGCCTCTAAACTCCCAACCCTTGGCACGCCGCATGTGCTGCATGGCCTCGGACGGCCCTCCCGACGTCCCGACGTCCCGACGGCGCCCTCACGCGAGGCCATGGAGATGGGCCGCGGCGGTCACCGTGCGCTTCTGATCCCGCTCCATGACGGGGGGATTCTTGGACGGCGACGTCGAGGACATGCTGTACCTCGCTGTGTGTCGCGCAGCGTAGCGCTGCATGTGGTCGCGACCGAAGGAGGCGAAGATGCATATGATGTGGTGCACCAAAAATAACACCTATAGGGCTTGATGGTGTTTTTGGGGGACCGAACTAATTTATTCATTTTCAGGACCTGTGGATCTTCCAACTACCACACTAAGTCAACTGCAGTCAACCGAAGACCCCTTACGCCCTGGAAGAGACCCACATGGAACACCAAAACCACTGGGTTGTAGAGTAAAATAACCTTCCTTGCAGGTTCATTCTCAGGTTCCATGTGATTTTCCCCACCCTCAAATGTCTTCTCGGTTTCGACGCCCCTGTGAAAGACTTGGACGGAGACACGGTGGGACCGTCGTTCGCCATGAGATTCTTCCGCCGTTCCTGTCCCGTTCACCGTTCTACCAAGCAGACCGTCAAACGAGTTCAGGAACGACCTGTTGCAGTGTCGAATTCTCCCATTGATGTGAGCTTTCGGTGAAAGAGCTGGTTCTTAAGCCGACCGGACCTAAACACACAAATAAGCCCCATTGGGAGTCCAGTCGACTATCTTTCAAAAGGCTCAGACGAACCCGGTGACCCCAAAAACGTCCAGGTATACATCCCTAGGGCTCCTGTAAGGTGGTTAGACCCCCTGACGCCTGACACACATCTGAACCACCGAACCGAAACGGAGGTAGGCCAGGAGCCCAAACCGGCATGAACCGTTGAGCCTCTTCATACCCAAACTGATCCGTTGAACGGGGTCGTAACTGGAACCGACGTCCTCCTCGTGCGACCAAGCGGCCGACGCAAAGGCTGACTAGTCCTCGTGGAAGGTGCGTTTGGTCGAGGACCGGCTGGTCAAACCAAAACACGAGCATCAAAAAACCTACCCGACCCAAAAGCCCATTGAACCCTCAGGTTTTGACCCTCACAACCAGGGTGAACTGGACCGAACCAACATGCAGCTGTATGAGGGTCCATGAGCCTCTGGGATATAAATACCTCAAACCCTTCAAGTCCTCACAAGTACCCTTTTTCCTCTGCCAGCTCCTTCACAAAGGATATACAAGTCTCCAGCCAGGACAACCATGGGAAGTGCTAGGTGGGTCATCTCGTTTCGAGCACAGGAGTGGGCATTGTGGTGGAAGTGGGATGCCTACTAAAAGTGTGCTCTTGTGCAACGAAATCGTCTTCCAGAAGGCAGGACATAGTGGTGTGTTTTGGATGTAAAACCTGTTGCACCACCACCTTGTCACCTTCAGATGACAAACACCTTTTAAACCATACACAGAACTATAGACTAGACTAGGAGTGCACCTCCTCGGTAACCATATGGCTCCCAAACACGTCCACCCGCGGAGATGAACGGCCGAATCCAACGTCGGTCTTCGGCCCTGACAGTTCCCCCACATCCGACCGATGGGTGAAGACACGTGGAGGTTCGAGTCGCAACGTTATTTCAGGGGTGGCGATACGAAGCATATTATGTCTAGGGGATCCGTTTTCGACTCGTACCGTACCGGGTATACCAAACCTCAGGTACGGTGAGCAGGGAGACATGGTCGGTGTTTGGTATTTTAATGTTTGCTTGCGAGCAACATGCATCAATTCCGAGCAAAAGACTAGGAAACATAGTATGAAAGCATAGTACATATTCCTGTCATTTCCTGTCCTATGGATTGTTGGGGCCACTCTCATGGTGTCCATGGGTGAACAACATATTCACATTTAACCCCTCTCACTGCATTCCACATCTTCCTGCAGCTAACTTCCATCAGTTAGGAAGCTTGCAAGCATGCCGCATGCCCATTAGAACTTGACATTACAAGATCTGCAGCTTTCCGAAAGCTTTTTGGTGAGTGCCCACAACAAGGGTATGCAGAACCTGGCCTGGAGTCCCCGGAGCCCTGGAGGCTACGAACATAACGACGTTTTCATCCAGTCCCAAAACCTGCTGCGAACAGCCTGGTCAATCAAACAGTTGGCACCTCGACCCGAGCAAACGAATTACATCAACACAACACGAATTACATCTGCCCCGGACACGACGAAACCACCATGAACCGAACATGGGACATGAACTGAAGAAACCACCACGAAACCGACTCCAAATATTTTGAGATACCAAGCTGTTCCAAGCTGTCAAACAGTGGTGCGATTCACTGTATACATTGATCCACTCATAGGGATTCACATCACCTTCGAATGGACCCTCCAAGACGCCTATACATACCAGCATGCTCCAACAGGTCTGCTTGTTCGAGGGTTGGGAAGGGCCTAGATACGGGTCCAACCATTGGTGACCTGGCAGTGAGGATGCTGGTACAGGTATCTCCAATATTCTCCAATCCGAATCTTCCAACTCTCCTGTAAGTTCTGCCTTTTCATCCCTTTTGACCCAAGTTCGGCATCAAGACTGCCCTATGGATCCACATACCCTCCTCTGGTGATTGGAAAACACCTTGATCTAGGCGCCAGTGTTGGGTCCACAGGTCTTTGAGTCGGAGTGTATCACGCCTGGATTTTCCCAGTCCGACGCTGCCGAGTTTGGAAGATCCATCGGTACCTAGGGATCCAGTGCTACCTCCTCAAAAGGTACTTGGACCCTCTTGGCACCCACCCCAGTCCCTTGGACCCTCCGGGCACCCACCCCAAACACCTCAAAGGGTACGACTGGATCCTTGGGGGGCACCTGGTTCTGACCCTCTCGCGGTCGGCGCGACCAATCAGGACTGGTCTTCCCCGCTTCACCCCGAGTGACGCCACGTCGATCTGCAACGGGGCCTGCGAAAGACGACGGAGAGGAGAGGCGGACGGCGGCGGTTTCGTTCAGCAACACCCCAAAACAACATCCATCATATGGGAACGGAAGGGTTACACATTCCAAGATTAGAGCCATATCATCGAGCTGTGCAGCATGTCAAGTGTAACTTGGCTGGTTTGATAGATGACGTTCGACACATGTGTTTGGACAGGAACGGCAGATCCAGGCATATGGCGCCGCATTGACCCCTGAAATCAACCACGTCAATATATTTAAGCTAGGCTTCATCGACTATAATTCAATAGTCTTACCGGAAAACATGTATATGGCAAAACAACAACGTTTCAACAAAACATACGTTTGAAGCATTGGGTATCTACCGGGACACCACGTTTGGGAGACACGTGTCGACCGGTCGTGTGACCCATGAACATCCATGAGTACAGCCATCCACAGTTGTGGCCACTGGTTCGGGTCCATGTCCCAATGTTCGATACAGTGTGAGGTCCAACAGGTCTTCTTGTGACAGAGGGTTGGGAAGGGCCTTAACAGGTAGCAATTGGTGACCTGGCAGTGAGGATGCTGGTATAAAGCATTTGGTCTCATGCCATACTTGGAAAGAATATCGCTGAGACAGGAGCATCTCCACTGGCTGCTGCATATACTGAGGGTCACATCCAGCACCATCCAGGATGGGCGTGTAACATGTTAATTACGTGAACCAGCTCACCGAAACCGTTCAACCATCAAAAAACGTCCGGAACAAACTGGTTTTGCAGTGTAAGATCCTTATAGTAAAACAGTTCTTCGGGATTCAGGCTACTTAAATCAATGGTGGGCCCATATTCAGCACCTGGGTTTGACCAAGAGCAGCCATGTTTCACGTCTACCACGCCTGGGCGCTCAGCTCCTGCTTGTAGGCGGCCAAACATGCAAAGACCGAACTCTTGAGACCACCACTCAGCGCCTGAGGCAGGCGATGGCATGCGTGAGTCACTCCGGAAGAAAGGACCCGGTTTGGGAACCAAGTTAATACCTGCTGCGAAGGTGGGACTAAGGTGGGTGGTACTGGAGGGCTCAAACAACCCTAGAGAATGGGTCTGCTGAACGTAACCTTTAACCATCCGTGGGCCATATTCATCTACATTGACAATAAAAACATCTTCAAAACCACCCCGATGTAGGTAGCAGTCCAATAATATCAAATAATATTCCATACATGGAGTGGTAGGGTATATACCCCCAAGGCTCCCGTCTCACATCCTCAGAATGTAGGGACAAACCCCCTATCACCCACCCCAACCACATTCATTTGGGATGCGGCTTCATTTGGGATGTGGTTGGACTCGAGTGTCCTGCGTTCACTGTTGGATGTTTTGTTTTCATTGCGTTTGTGTTGTTTTCATTGCGTTTGTGTGTGAGTCGGGCTCTGTCCCTAAGAGTACTTTCCTTGAATTCATGGAGCGGGGGGAGGACTGTGTCCAACGAAGCTACCAGTGGCAGCTTGGCCAGCTGGATGTGCCAGCTTCTATCTATTGGGCGATTCTTATGTCTCGCCCGCAAAAAGGAGGCAGGGTTCGTCGGCAGACTTGTCTGTCGGTTCCCTTTCCTTTTCTACCCTGATTGAGCGATTCGCCAGTCTCGCTCCTTAGAACGCTGGCCCTGGTCTTCTCCGCAAACCCTGCACGAGGCTGCTGCAAGCCTGTCGATGTGGCTCAGCAAGCCTCAAATGCGTTAAGAATTTTTTGTTGGTAAACACCAGCGTGGTGACCGTGAACATAAAAACTCGCCCGCCAAACAAATCTGCAGACAACGGGCGGCGGAACAACAGCTGCTCAAGGTCTTCTGTAAACGGAGATGGAGCGCTGGATGGCGCAGTTCTTTGCAAAGCCCTCATGACGTAGTGAGTATGCCTCTTGAAAAAAGTTCAATGGCAGGATATCCTCTCCAACGCAGTGCTGGTCCTGGAACCAAACGCAGGCGATACTTGTGGGAGAGCCAGATGAGCCGAACGTTTCCGTGGGCTATCGTGGGCTTTGATGATCAAAACATGTTTGGATCTGCGCCGCGTGTACCTGGAAGGCTCGGGGTTTTCAAATGCTTCGAAGGGTGTCATCCATGTAAGGCTCTCCAAACCAGTCCAATGCCCCAAACACATCTGGCTCGCCTGCCAACTCAAAAGGTAATCAACGGACTTTGTCACCCACGTTGCGGGCTTGTGCAAGGCTTGAAAGTCGACTGGGCGTTGGCAACCGGGAGAAGTGAGCTTGTTCGTCATATGGTGAGTGAACTCCTGCAACACGCAACCCAAGAGATCTATGATCTATAGCCATTGATAGCTATAGGGTACTCTTTAGGGTATACCCATGTATACCCGACTGTGGACGCACGGTAACAAGTGATGTTTGGTTGGTGTTCGGATCTGCCAAAACCGATCTTCTTCTGGTCCTGCTTCCCTTTCCCACCCAAACTTGTCTTTGCCCAACTCTCCTGGCACATCGGTGATTTGATCCCATCAGGAACAACAGCATGATCACTCGTTTTCCACCCAATGCTTTCGTTCCAAGGTCTGCAGGGTTCGTCATTGTGTCAAGCTTTCTGAGGTCCAGGTCTCGCCCTTGCCACAGCAACCTTGCGCTCAAATGCTTTAAAGGCCAAGCTTGAGCTGTTGTCACCGTAAACCACAAGCTTTACAGCTTCTCCTGTCAAATGCTCAACGGCTGCTTTCAACAACAGACCTCAATTCTGGAACTATCCCTACCTCTACCTACTCGTCAATCTAGATCTGTTTTGAGTTCGTGTCTTGTAAGCTGGTATAGAGCTGGCCTCCAACCTGGTGCGATGGCCTCTAACGTGCTAGAGATGACCTCCAACCGTGTCGCTGTGTAAAGGGCTAATGAGTCTTTGCCGTTTCACCTTTGGATGTGATTCTAAGTAAAGCTCACCGCCGTCTCACGCGTTGTTGTGCAGTAACGGTCTATAGTGCACTAAAGGGGTAATGCAGCATCTAGAGAGACTCCAGTAAAGGGCTACTGCAGTAAAGGTCAAATGCATCGGTGAGTCAGTACTGAAATTTATGCTCAGCAGCATCTTCCCACTTGGGTGTGCTGTGTGATCCCCTCGGGGCGCTGTTCCCAGTCCTTTCGCAAAGGTGAATTTTTCAGACTTAGCGTTTCTGCACGCACCCTGAGCTAGCTTCAGATCAAACGTGATCGCATGAAAGAGCTGAAATTCCACTGCCGAGTTCACGGAGATCCCTCACTGAAATTCTTTGTCGTTCAAAGTCATGCATGTTCCTGAAGTCAAGGTTAGTGCTAATGCAGTAAAGCGCTAATGCCTCTGAGTCTTTTGAGAACCTAGGTAGAGCACAAGCTGTTCCCATTCGGTGTTGTGCTGTAAAGTGCTAATGCAGTAAAGCACTAATGCATCCGAGTCTTTTTAGAACCTAGGTAGAGCACAAGCTGTTCCCTTTCGGTGTTGTGCTGTAAAGTGCTAATGCATTTTGCTCCTTCACTTGAAGTCTTTTATGAACCTAGGAAACCTAGGTATTGCACAAGCTGTTCCCATCACGTGTTGCGCATTAAAGTGCTAGTGCGTCTGGGTCTTTCCGGGCTTTTCCCGAGCGCCGAACACGGCACCTTGTGTGTGTGTCGCACTGTGTCCCTAAGAATACTTTCCCTGAATTCGTGGAGCAGGGGGACACAGATTGGGACTGTGTCCAACGAAGCTACCAGTGAAATGGGATATCCAGCTTGGCCAGCTGGATGTACCTGCTTCTATTCTATTGGGCGATTCTTATATCTCGCCCACAAACAGGAGGCAGGGTTCGTCGGCAGAATTGTCTGTCGGTTCCCTTTCCTTTTCTACCCTAGTGGAGCGATTTGCCAGTCTCCCTCTCTAGAACAGGAGCCTTCTTTTCCTTTCGTCTACCCACCTAAAAACAGGAGGCTTTATTTCCTTTTTAACTACTTACTTAGAGCGATTCACTTGTCTCGCTCACTTATGGAACTAACCCTACCGCCACCTACTCGTCAATCAAGACCTGCTTTAAGTTCGTGTCTTGTAATAAGAGAGACTCCAGTAGAGGGCTACTGCAGTAAAGGTCTAATGCATCGGCAAGTCAATACTGAAACTTTATGCTCATTCAGTTGAGCTATGTATCGAAATGTTACCTTGTGGAAGGTTTGGGTAGTTCGGTTTTGTTAGCTGTTAAAGATGGGTTCCATCAGCCTGTTGTCCCAAGCACAAAATCCCTGTGCACCATCCCAGTTGGAAAGCTGTGAATTATTGTTTTTGTTCAGATCATTGCTCATTGCTCACATTACTCGAACACTCCATCTTGGCTCCTCCCCATTTGGGGTGCTTTGGGTGGGGGAGGCTGCCCTGCAAGTCCAGTTCGACTATATTGCCACATTGAAGCAAAGGAGGTTCCTTTTAGGGTCACCTAGTGACCTAGTCAGTCCATTTTAGAAATAGTCAACTGGACTCCCAGGGTGTAACTCTCTCCTGAGGATGCTGCATAGGAGCCCTAGCCCTAGGCTTCTTGGCCAACCATTGATATCATGGTGTTGACATGTTTTGACCAAAACATCATTCCTTTTTCATAAGGGTGTTAGACTACAAAACCCGCTCAACCATTCTTCCAATGGTCTTTTGATGGTCTTGGGCTATTGTAACATGTAACATGTGAACAGCAGCATTCCATGTTAGGGTCGTTCCGAACACTCTTTGAATGGCCTTCTCGGTTTGGGCGGCACCCAGTGGAGGGCTTCTTCGAGCAAATGGGAGTCTGGGGCAGTCCCGACAGGCTGTCCAAAAACCACCAGACTTGGAAGGTCCTGAACCATGGCAGTTTTGGGTGCTCCCGTCCAAATATCAGAACCTTCCGTATAGAGGGGAGACCCACCAGACTACCATACACTACCTGTTGGATCTCCATGAGCAGCGACGGTGGATTCGTTCTGGCAAGCAGCAACATCGCGATCGAAGAGGACATCCAAGTAGTCCCTCTTTTCCTCGTCTGTGACTGAGTTGAACTGCTTCTCGATGGCCTGAGGAACACTATAGAACTGGGTTTGGGGGCTGAAGAAAATGAGATGATGTCTATATAGTAGGGTCTCTGTTAGATGTTGTTCCCAAGACACTCTGCAAGTCATGCAAAGGAAGGCGGGCCGTGTTCGTCAAATAGTGAACAGGGAGGACACATTCAATAAACAAAGCACTCAAAAACAACTCACCACCCTTTCCCAAGCTTGCACAAACATGCACTAAAATAACAATCATTAAGGTAAAGACACATCAAACAATATATTATATTGTCAAAACATATAGTAAGACTATCTTAAACTAGATCTTATGCGACTTCTTGTGAACAAGCAGGCCAAAAGCAGGCTTAGCACCCTTGACGGATCGTCGCACCTTGGGCCTTCCATGGGAAGGGTCGGACCCTCCATGGCAGGGGTTCGGACCCTCAAAAGCCCTTATATTTGAGGACCCGGATTCTTAGGTGGTTTCAGGGGTCCATACAGCATCCTCACTGGCCATGTCACCCAGGACGTTGGACCTGTATGAGGAAGCCCTTTGCAATGACCTACCTCCCAAGTGAGGATGCTGGCATGGATGGAGTCTTTTAATGATTTCGCTGTGCAGAACTGAACATCTCAGATGCCCAAGGTCACCTCAGCAAAAAAAAGATCTTCATGCTCCGAAGTACCTTCGAAAATGTGACATGAGCCTATATAGACTGGTACACATGTACCCACGTTCCAAGGGACTCCAGGTACATGCGAGCCTGCTCATCCACAAAGAGTGCTTTACCGACATTCTTGGCTGTTGGCTCAGATCACACCAAGTCTGGTCCAGGTGCATTTCTTGGATTTTCAGTCCATCATATCCCCCAGAAGGAGATGTTCTATTTACATGTTCGGGAAAAGAAACATCTGAGCAAAAACAAAGATCATCCATGATCATCCCAAATCGCATTGCGTAGAAAAACATCTTCGATGACCATTGAACAAAAACACTATCCCAGAATCCCAAAACTTCCAATGACTCGTTTGGCTCCATCTAGCTGGGAGTAAAAACCGACTACCAACAGTAAAACCAAGATTGCCACACCCTGGTTCAGAGACCGAACCTGAAAGCCATCGGTTTGTGGAGGAAGCGAACGTCTTCCTTACAGGTTCATTTTCAATTTTGTTCATTGTCCGTTGGTTGTAGGCTTCCTTCCCTTTAATTAAAAAACAACCAGCCAAAAGGATCCAAAAGGTAAAAACATTGGCACACAGACGTGGAGGATCTAGGTAATGCATTCAGTCCAACATGCAGTCTCGGTGCCGTCCGGGCCCAAGTGATCGCGGAGGGCTCCTGCGCTACTTCGTGGCGCGCGTCACGCGATCCGCGTTGCGATCCGAGGCGACGTCTGTTGGGAGCGCACGACGCGCGGTCTAGGCGTCTGGGTTGGAACAAATCCCAAACACAACCTGGTCACTGAGACATGATACCCCAGTACCATGGACGAATGGATGATGGCTAGTAAAGGTACATGTCCAAAAAATTGTGATGATGGGGTAATTAATTGAAAAGGAGCAAATGAAATAGATCTTCCAACTGTGCAACATGTTGTTTGCTACCTATAAAACCAGCCAAGATAGGCAGAAATGCTGCACAGTTGGAAGAACAATTATGGTACCTACATGGGTGTGGTTGTTTGTGAAGGGGTTAATGTGGGCATATATGATTCCACGCATGGAGAGTCTGCAATTGAAACCATGCAATATCCTCCGGACACGCGAAGGATCCAGAAGTTTGGGTTCAATTACAATTCAGAGTATATAATTATGATGAACAAAAATCCAACCCTATTTCTCTCATTGACGTTAACGTGTACATCAACTCCTCCAGTTGGGACAATGCCAACACCTAAAGCCTTGCTGAACCCTCATAGCTAGGGCTTTGACCCTCACAACCATGGTTTTGGACCTCAAACATGCAGCTGTTTGAGGGTCCATGAGCCTCTGGGTAGAACTCGTCATGTATATAAAATCTCAGGACACCGCACCACTACTTCCACAGGATCCAGAAGCATTGATCCTACTGTTCTCAGCGGTTTTCACGAAGACCCATCTCTTAGCTTCTACCCTAGGGATCCACTGGCACCCTCTGAGGTACATTGATGTCTTCGACACTGTTATGTAGGTGGTCTTGGTCGGGTCCAGTTGTACCTAACCTGAGAATGACCAGGCAAAAAGACCCATTAAAAGAATGGAACAAATCAGTGACCTGTTTCAGTCTTAGTCGCCTAAAATCCAATAGTTGTTGGAATCTGTAGGGTCAAACCAAAGGTTGTTCAGGACCCTATAGCTAGGTCGTAGGTCGACTATTTCATAGGTACCCGGGCCTGTGACGGGTCCTTTGTCAGGTCACTTCACCTCTTCACTTTGCAACAGTGGATGATGATGGTTAACAGTGGACTGAAGTTAAAAATTACCTCTCAAAAGTCCAGGGAACCTTCATCATCATCCCTCACCCTTCACCCTTGGTTGGGAACCTCTTCTCCGACGAAGAACTGAGTTCTGCGGACGTCGTCCGGTTCCACGGAAACCGCGTCGCGCGGCTCCAACAAACGCGTCGCGCGGCGGTGTTGAAACCGCGTTCCGATGGAAGAGGCCCAAAGCACAGTGGTGGTACCAGTGCTTAGCTTGAGGTAGTTGCAGGGGATGCATCCAACATGATTCGGAACCTGGTCACATGGACACCGGTTTTTTTCCAGTTTGGAAGACTCTTTCCCTCTAGACCTCTAGAACCCACGTGTTGCCTTAAAGGTCACCTCTTGGCCCAGCCCGACCTCGCCCCCCCAGGACTTCGCCCCAGTCGCCCCAGTCGGCCGGTCAGTCGCCCCAGTCGGCCCCCCTGCACCTGGGTGTGCTCGAGCAAGCTTTGGAGACCCAGTAAGGTGAGTCGCAGGGCTTTCTTCGGCTTCTGGGAGGCCACGTGCGGGCGGACGCTCTTCCTTGGGGCCGCGGTCGGCCGAGGAAGGCCCTGGGCCGAACTCGAGCAAGGTCTGTGGAGGGAATGGGAGCCCCCAAATGGACCGTGAAAAAGGCCAGGTCCAGGAACAACCGCACCTTGGATGGTCGCATGGAGGATTTCCGTACCTAGTTCCAGGACATGGTCGAACGAAACGAGGGGCATTTGAGACACGGAGACCATCCTGGGTCCACGCTATTGGGGGTGAAGCATGTTTATTGAGCAATCTTAACTTCAAAAGTCCACGGTTAACCATCATCATCCACTGTTGCAAAGTAAATCGTCTTGAATGATTTGTGGTACGAGGGTGTCCTCCAAAGGTGTGTCCGGAGATGTTCGTTATAAACCATCTGTTGCAGTCACAGCATCAGGTTTATTTGAGTCTGGGGATGTTTCTCTAGCTTTCTGATTTTTCTGATTTTTTCTGAGGCGTTTATACGCAAGCTACGGGCGTTTATTGGTGAACCACGGGCATTTTTACCAGACGTGTGGTTTTTGTTATCAGTGCAAGTTCCTGCATGTCTATTTTGGCTGGGGATGTTTGTGTGGATACCAAACCTAGATAAAGGTACGTTGAACACCGATGCCAAAAGAATCCAAAAGAGCAACCAGTAGGTCGCAGGTATACATTATTCCATTACCAGTAACGTGGATGGCGATTGTTTGTAAAGGACTCTCTTTAACAATTAAGATCTAATAATCATCGTTTACCGACTCTTACTGGTAATGGGACACACCCTATGCCCTACAATAGTTAACATGATATATAAACAATGTGTTGTTTGAACATGTCTGTGGCCCCTCTTTTGGATCGACCCCACCCTAGGCTTCCAACAGCCATTGGCTTAAAGGTCATTACCAAAGAACCTGTGTTTTACTACAGTAAAGGACTTTACAAAAAACAACGCCAGGGCAACAATTTTAAGAATGGTCTTGGAAGGCTAGGCTACAGGGTCCACCTTGTAAAAGAAAGAACCCGAAGACCTGCTGGTCTTTCCTTGGAGCCACTGTGTCTACTTCGTTCTGCCAAAGGCTCATGAGTTCGATCGCCTGTTGTAGGCGCTCTTGCGTCTTCTCAGCCACTTGCACATGCCTGGCGCTCATCCGAAGCTGTCGGAAAGAACAAAAGAGGAAAACCCCAATGGATCCAAGAAACACTGCAGAGCGAATAAAGATCGTATCTGAATCATTCCTAAGAGCTCAGGACCGTCCGTTGCTTGGATGCGGCTGTTGTCGGCCCAATTAAAAGAAACAAGCAGGGGGGGGTGTAGTCCCCAAGTGAGTAGATGTTCTAAGTTCTGGGCACCCCTATCCTCCAAGTTCGGCACCCCTTTGGGATTGCTGGTTGAATCCAGGATGTTCAACATGGCGGCCCCCACAAAATGGTTGAATTTGACTTCTTCGAGAAGTCCCACACCCACACACACTCCCTGTCTGGGACTGATTGAAGTATTTGCATACATTGGGGTGGTTTCAGAGGTCAATGTAGGTGTATATTCCGTATGTGGAATGTCTGAGAAATGCAAGCTGATGCTTTTGAACGCTAGAATTCCCACAGTTCTTACAGCTCTTGACATGCCAAACCTCGGACCATGTTTTTTCAGTTCGCACACACTGCGAAACGAAGGTGGAGGGTACATTTGGTCGGACCCGAACCCATCCTCGCGGCTATTCAGGGTCTGGGCTGGGGTTTCGCAACCAAAAGGATATGTAACGACTATACATTCTCCCTGAAACCACCCCAATGTATGCAAATATGCCCCCATTAAGATCGCCAGGTCCAGGTGTGGCGATTGCGGACTGAAGGACGGGACCCCCCGAGCCGTCGAAGGGCCTGGCTCCCACGGGGACCGGCTTTTGAGGTCTTAGCATGGAAGAGAACAAGTCTGGCTGTGTACCAGACTGTCGCCGTTTTCGCACCAGACTACCCTACAGGTCGAGGGTCGACGGACAATACTGTGACATTTCGGAAGGACACCCGAGGTCTCCCAAACCAGCAATAAACTCAGATGTTGTATGGTTTTGTACCGGTTTGAAGAAGCAACACCTGAGGCAATTTTTGAAAAAATACCCGAGGTTTCGACTTTACACGTTTGTAACGTGTGGGTGCATGAGGCCCAGACCCTGCAAGGTCAACCATTCCTTTTGACCAAGGGGTGTCTTTGGTGATGCCCCTATTTTCATACACCCAAATGAAGCGACGCCAGCGAAACCCCTCTGGTTTCGCAGTTCATCAGTCCCGGTGCCTCTTCGTGTGAGCCAACTCTTCCATGCGCTGGATCTCTTGCTCCTCAGTTCACTGTAGATGGTCCCTGGGATTCCAACCAACATTAGTGTAATGGGCTTTACCGAACAACCAGTCGTTCTATATAATTAAGCTTATTTACACTACAATTCAGGTCAACCATCAAACTTTTACATCATGGTCTGACCGTGTCTTTGATAATTCTTTCTTTTGATGTTTTGCTTACCTTCAAGACCTGCGAACGCCCGCTATCGCGCATGTCCGAGAAATGGTCCACTCCACTCCGAGCTAATGGGGACCCACTGTTCCTTCCAACCAACCCCTACCGTAGCATGTTCCTTTCCAGTGCGGAATTTATTCCTTGTCATCGACAATAAAACCGGCCAAATTTGGCATCAATTCGGCACAGTTGGAGGATCTAGGTACAATTACTTAACGACTTAATGGATCTTAATGGATGTGATTCGTTGAGAAGAGAGGTCCGACCTGATTTGTGTGATTCCTCCAAAGACTCCCCGATGAACAGGTAGCTGTGCAAACGTGTTCCCTGGTGTTCCTATCATTCAGGGAAATCGCCGGTCAACAACGGGCACTCTTTCCATAGAGGGGCGGAGGCCATGTTGAATGGGACTCACATTTCACGGGCTGCCCGTTTCGAGGAACTCTTTCCTTCGAGTTGTAGAAGGACAAAGAAGAACATAAACAAATAAACACACACCGGACACACACACACACATACCATAGAAATCCACTTCGACTATACTGTAGTTCACTGGGTTCACCCAGAAACATTGAACTAGTCGACTGGACTATTATCATGTGTCCTAGGGTTCCGAAACATATTTATGTATACCCTCGAAAGCAACCCCAAACAATTTTCAGGATGCACTTGGAACCCCTGTACACTACTACTGCTACTGCTACTGCTACTGCTTCTGCTACTGCTACTGCTACCACTACTGCTACTGCTACTGC